CTTTCAGTTTCGTCTAATTCTTTGATCCTATCGTATAAGTTGCCCTTTTAAAAACTATCAATTATTTCTGATCACTTGGGATAACTTTCATGAGATACATTTCTTAATTATTATGATGCGCTTCAAGTATCATTTAGATTTAATAAATCGAAGTGTTTTATAAGTTCGCAATAGTTAAACTTGAACATTAAGCATAAAGCTCCTTTCACATTCGTTTTTATAATTAATAACCACCGTTTTCTATCGTCGGTACCAATTTACAAAATATGAAGGCCTACTCACAGTTGCCTATACACACATCGATACTTATTAAATATATGTATCTGTTCTGATCAGACACAAACATTTGGCGTAGATCCATTCCAATGAAGGAAACCTTTCCCAAATATCGCCGACGGTCATGAGTGGATGGCAAATTGAATAAGAGTATGTCAATTGTGAAACGACCCTACACATGCAGACAGTACGGTTCATCTGGCGCGTGCCCAAGTTTTTCGTCGTCGACGGAAATTTTAACGCTTTCTATTCGATTGGACACCATAGCCGATCTCCCGAGAGAGTACGTCAAATGGTTGAATTCAGTCGATATCGATAGATCCGGCTTAATCGGTTAATTCTGTCCTCTCTTCTCCCCTCTTTCCTTCCTTTTTTTCTATCTTTTTTTTTTACTCGCTGCGATACGAGCGACACGGGATTAATTATCGGTAACGAGAAAACACGATTAATTACCGACGACAGTTTCTGGGCAGCTAGAATGAAAATTCGGCCTCGTCGTAATTCACGGGGAATTGGCTGCATTTTCTCAATTAACTTGCAACGCATTTATATGTATCGGTGAAAGTATGTTCTTGCCAATGTTTTAACAAAATTCAGGAACACTGCTTGGTGAAATTTTGCGCGAAAATATTTCGACTGTTATAATGGACTAACAATTTGTTGCGTAGAAATGTTAAATAATAAATAGAGATAATTAAAAATACAAAATATAAATAAAAATACTATAAAAAATACTTAAAATTAAAAAATACTACATATACGTGGTTTTCTTAGAGAAAATGACATTTTCTATATTTTATAGTACGAAACTTTATTTTTGTTATCCACATTTAGGACATCTGATGGCAAATGTTTGATAATGACATATGTGAATTTAAAGTCTTTTCTATTAACGAGAGGTGTGGAATATATGTGTTTGAAGTGCTGTCGAAAAAGGTTACTTTTAATGAGAGAGTAAGCTTAAAGGCGTACATCGTTTGTTGGTCGTGTTAGCTACGCGCTGTTGAAAGTAACATGAAAGAAACTAGCGCGTACTTGAAATTAAATGAATAGGTATTTCTATGCTGGATGTATATCCTTAAAAGGATACGAACATAACAAAATAGAAACTGTACGTTTCAAAGTACGCGTTTACTTTTTAGTTTCTTATATCGCGCATCAATAAATGTTATTATACTTGTTGTAAGATTCTTCGCTGTATCGTTGTGTACGACGTTGAACAGTTTTATGTTAACGAATGATTTACAATCCCTGATTTGTCAAAGCGATACTAGCATAAATCAATAACAACCCCACACTCAACATATTAGAAAAACATGCATTAAATTAGTTGAAGATTCTTAATTCGGTGGACCAAAGACATTCACTTTTCGGGAATTTGCTTACTTTTAAATTTATTAAAAAATTTCGACCGTTCAATTTGTCCTATAGAAATTGTATAATTCTAAACCGGAAAAAAATTGTAGAAAATATTTTGTACAATATAACATGGGTAACGAGTTATAAATAGGCGGAAATTAATCATTTTAGTATGTATAAGGTTGACACTTCATATTGTATAAGCATTGTTTATGCAAGCTATGGATTTACATATATTTTATATGTATAAATGCACACGCATGAAAAGATCTCATTTCACGCGGACTACCATGAATCTTGCACGAAAAATATAAAGAGTAGCTAAATACGCTTGCGTGACTACATAATTTTACTTTGTATTCGTATAGAAACATTAAGTTACTTGTGTCTAAGAATAAATGGTTTAAAAGATATTTTGACCTTAATTTCGTAAAACATAGGAGAAACGAGATGAATGTAATATATCATAAATATAAAAGTACAAAAGTTACATTTCGTCTTGCTTACTTACTAGTTTCGCTACTTATTACTTCTTTCACATATTGAATTTTGCAATATTCAAGATAGAATATCTTTCAAACTAATTGTCTTCGAGCACAAGTAACTTGATACGTTTAAGTTTGTTTAATGAAATGCCCGTCTCTCGAAGTTACATCTTGCTTTTAACACTAAAACTACCACACCAGTCAAATTGACTGATTTTATAATTTTATTTTAAAATTCTTACTTCATGTCATATTTTCTTTCCGCAATGATAACTAAAGGAATATAATGAATTTTATTTTGTTTTTTATATATTCAAACTCAAAATATAAAAACTCTACTTATCAATATCAGTCACAATGACTGGTACTTGTCAAAGTGTAAAAGGGTGCTGCAATCTGTTTATCAAACCCCAATTAACCAGTTTCCTAGTTTTGTATGTTTTTTAAATTTTTACTGCGTATCATTCAATATGATGTTATCGGGAAAATTCCAGATCGATCGCTAGAGCGCTAGATGTTAATACTAGAAATACCACACCAGTGGAAATGACCGGTTCTACAATTTTATAAATGTGTCAACTTTCGTTTAGGGATCATAGTCCCACATGGATTAATAATACCAAAAATGTACTACATTACATTGTATTCCTTCTGTAAGAAAGTAATAAATCAATAAATATAAAAATATTCTATTATTACATATTTTTTAAAGACCAGTCAAAATGACTGGTTTTGGTAGAAATAATTTCGTGTTAACTATCGGTAGTTCTAATGTTAATAAGTTGTAAATCTGAGAGTAAACTATTAGCAGTCTTTTGAATATGACATATTCTGCACGAAACTATATTGTATGTCGCGTTGCTACTTTATACGTATAATCTTACTGTTCATATTATATAGAAATTATGCTGTAAGCTATATTAAACTATAAGTAAGTGATAAAGTTTGGCTGGAAAATCTTGGAACAGGTTGAAGATACATTTTAATATATTAATTGCATCAGTAGGAATGAAACAGATAATGCAACCCTCGATCTAGATATCCATTCAGATACAGTTAAGATATTGTGAATACATGTCCAAGACTAGAGAAACTAGGCTGAATACACGATAGGAACTTACGGAGTACTACTCGGAAAGTTATGCTCCGTGCCACGGTGGCATTTAACAACTGCAGAACTTCCGGTCCGGAAGTTAAAAGTTACTTCGTTGCGACTCCTAGCGACGCAAAGCGCGTCTCACCCAGAACACGTCCTGTTCACGACATACCCACAACTTTATTTAAGAATTTGCGTCAACAACTTTGGATGTGAGAATATTATTTTATCTTTCACCTTATTGTCCCATTAAAATCTCCTTCATTTCATTTTTGCAATGACGATAAATATATCATTATATAATTAATATTAATAAATAATAATTTCATAGAGAGATTTGTTACTTATATGCACAAAATAGCGTTAGTTTCAATATAAATAACTTGCACGAGCATAATTTATATGGATAAACGGCATTCATTGTAATTCGTTTTATATTTAAAAAATATTGAGGACTATGTGAGAAAGACTACATATTTGGTAGTTGAAGGGAACATCCTGTTATATAAATCCACTAAATCATATAATTACGTGTGTGATAAATAATGATTTTAAAATATCCAGAAAGATGACAGAGATACACATTTAATTCCAAATAATTTTTAATAATATAAGAGTGGATTTCTTTGTTATATCTTAATATATTTTCTTCTGTGGTCTTCGATCGTAAAGTTCTATTAAAAATTATACAACTGAATAAGTTTCTCAGATAGTCATTTGTGCATCAAAAGCTCTGAAACTCTTAAGGAATACCTTCCTTCATAACTTCTTTTAAAAGTATATTTTCTTCCTTCTTTTTCGTTATTATATCAAAGACTGATAATATTTCATAATATGCTACAAGCTTAATTGTTTAAAAGATTACTAAGTCTTAATTTCAGTTTCTAACTATAACATAAAGTAAACAATTTCCTGATATCCTTGTTTCAAGTGTATCAAGTATCAGCAAGTTATGGATGGTGTGTAGCAAGTATACATCAAGCTTCGTTCAGCCGATCGATACTAATATAAACGTGTGGTGGTGAAGGTTCTACGTGAAGTATCGTGTGATGCATAAATCACTTTCGTTCGAGACACCTCCCGTTTCTCTTGCCCATCGTATAGTACTTTATATAAGATCTTGGCTGCAACGTCTTTGCATTAGTGTAAAAAGAAATACGAAGCTTGGTGCTACATACGGTTTCGATACTAAAGTATCAGCGTCACACACCCGTGTTCTAGCGATATCAGCGTCTACTTTTACCAGAAGCAAATAAGACGACAAATTGCCAACAGAAATTGCAGTCACTGAGAATTTTGTCTATGTTTTGTATTGATATAATGTAACGACAAATGGATGTAGCTTTGAAATTTAAGAACGTTTTCTACGTATCGAATTTATAGTATAATACTGCAATTTCTAATAAGTTTGAGACAGAAGCTGAAAGAATATTGAAATTAATAACTGAACTCTGCGATATTACATCTGGATACATAAAAGTTCATATATTTATATATTAACTACGGAAATAAATACAAATAAAATTTAGATGAATAAACGGTACCAATAAGTTCCAACCTTAAGATCCGTTGAATTACTCACGAAGAGCTATTACCTCTTACAAATAGCTAAAAGAAAGAAAATATACTAGCTTTTAATATCTCTTAATACCTTTTAATAATATTCCAAGATCAGCATAGCCTTCATTCTATGGCAACAGTTTTTTAACGCTTGTGCATTGTATGCTTAGCTGCATATCTAATATGTGTTAATTATATGTATAATTAATTACATGCAAACTCACCTGTAGACGCTTTCATCGTACGATAGCAAGATCCGAACCGGCTGACTGATACTCCGCTTTTTCACTTCATGTGCTGGTTCTATGTGAACGCCATGAACAACCTATAAAACAAAAACAACGACGATTAAATCAAATACCATTTTGCAACCAACAATAGCGACTTAAATTAACAGTTTGTACATTTTTCTATATGAACTTAAAGGGAGGAAAAATTGTCATCAAAGAGTCAATCATATTAATCTATCATTTTAGAAAGATTTAAGATATCTCTATTCGACTTAAACAATGTTTTTAATGCATAAGTAATTTTAGAAGACATTATGTGACAATTCCATTCCAAGAGTATTTGAATTGTAAAACAGACATAATTCTTATAAATATAGTATATAATGAAAAGAATTGATCGTTGGAGAAGCACATTGATTCATATGAAAATTACTTTGATTCAGTACACGATATTTCCAAGAAACTATGTGTGATTGAAATTAAGAAGCATTTTGTATTCATCAATCCAATATAATGTTCCACGTATCTTTTCCTGGAAGAATAAAAGCAATTTTACTGCTATTGCGCAACTTGCAGCTTACGTTGTAGAAATAAAAATCTGATTCTGTAGAAGGGATATATTCTCATATCTTGAATCAGCATAAAAAGCATGAGAAAGTAAGAGAGAGAGAGAGAGAGAGATACATATATATATGTATATATATCGATCGAGAAAACAAAAGGATAAACGACCGAAAGTTTGAAAGTTTCAAATTCACTCATAGCCCGAAGGTTCTGAATTCTGGGCAAAAGAGTTTCCAAGCTTGACTGAACAACCCTTCCAGACTCTTCGAAACTTCTCAACATTTAGAACAATTTGGATTTTATAAGGACAAATATCACAGAATCCTACAAAAATAATTTCTCTCTTTAATTTAATTCATTTCAACGTCATTTAGCATATAGACGCTAGAACATAAGATTACATATAAATTTTTTATACAAGAAATATTATGTAATAAAGAAAATACACATATAATAGAATAATTAGCTACTCGAGAATTTCCGCTTGAAATAAGTCGTTCAATTCTAAGTAATTTTTTCAACTTTATTGTTTAACTGCATCTGCGAATATACATGTGATTCAAATCAGTACACTTATGTAACTTAAATATCCAGATTAAATATCAAATAATTAAAAGGAAATTTCATTATTTCACACGACATTATGAATGTGAGGTGTTGTAGTATTGTACTGTGTATACACAGTGTGTCATTTTAATCGACCCAATATTGCAAATATCTGCTAAACAATCTGTTATTCGAAAAAGTGTTTCAAATAAAACTTGTTTTGTTTCAGCGACGTCTTATAATGACCAGATTTGTCTAGGTAGAGGCGTTTTCGAGATTTCAAGATGAGCAACGATCTTTTAAATGGAACTATAGCTTTTTTTATACACATTCGATACAATTTTTAATTCTCTACAAAGAAGTAGATATATTATCAGATATAGTAGATATTTTATTAGAAGTGATGCTTAGTTTAAAAGATATTTCGATTCCAACTTCATCAAATTGAGTGCATGGAAGACAAGAGAAAGGAACGTAAAAGCATTGCATTGACTATCCTTATCTTTCATATTGAAGAGTTTTACGAGGTTAAAGTTCAAATATCTTCTAAACTAATTATTTTTTGATTCAAGTGCCTTAATACCTCTTGTAAAGAATTAAAAAATGCATCGAATAGTGTATAGAAAAGTGTAAAGTTCTGTTAAAAAATGAGCCACCATGAAATCTCGAAAGCACGCCTACCTAGATAAGTTTTATTTATTTTTATTTTATTTTTTTTTTTATACAGTTTAGCAAGTATTTGCATGGATCGAATAAAACGAGACACTTTGTATGTACATTCGTAACATCATACGTATAAAGTAATTGAATTTCTTTCTCATTAGTTGATATCTAAAACTATATAACTACGTCCAAAATTATTCTATTTTCTATTCATTCATCGATTAGCTATCATCTCAACACTTGCCTATTTCAGTTATAATCGTGTTAAAAGCTTGAAACATTTGCCGCATATTGTGATTCCTGGAAGCACGAGATTGCACTCTGAATTTGCAGTGTCGGACGAATCCAGAAACCAATCGGATTCATGCAACATGATTTAGCGTTGAGGTCGCGTCTGGTATTAATGGCAATCAATTATTGCATATTCTGATATACTAACTCACGAAGTTATTCAAATGTTTACAGGCATTTTTTATGAATATGCATATTACACGTGTTATATAAAATATTGTGAAAAATTAGCATTAGCTGCATTGAAATTAGCATTAGCATTAGATTACATTGGTATATCTTAAAACAAATCTGAATAAATGAAACATAAAATCCCATAAATGCATAAACATCTTCGGTCTACTAGAGTAAATAAAAATACAATACGATGCAGTAACAACTTTAAACCAATTACAAAAAGGAAATTACCAAAATTCTATAAATGTTACTTTCTTATTAAACGTTAATTTTATTATCAACATGAAAATTATATGAAATTTCTTATTAACGCGAAATAAACTTAATCCAGAATTAACGTAACTTATCTTTACAGTCAGGGAATTTACACAGACATACGTTGTCATTTCCTATTACTTGATAAACCCTGTGATAGGGGTGGAAATTAGGAGAAGTCTCGAAGTTTGATAATTAAGAGAATATTAGTCAGTACGCGCTAAAGTGGTCTGTAAGTTACGAAGGAACACGCTTAGCGTACCATCGTTATCTTCTATGTTATACGTACGTATATGCGCATTTCGTTACCCTCCCGCTTTACCTTCGATCTTCGATCCAACCTTCACGATGCTCTGCCCCTTTGGATAGTAAAGTTAATGCTGTCCTAACCTCTCAAGATATCGCATTATCGTTAAGAAGCTTTTCGCGCAAGTCATAAACTCTCCGCAAGTATAAAACTAGATCGGATTAAAACTTAATGCGGATCCTCGCATAATTGCATTCCTGGCGAACTCCTCTCCTGTGACAATGAAACCGATTACACGATATTTGATACGGCTATGTACCAGACCACTTTAGAAACGTCGGATTAAAAGTGAAGCAACCAGTAAACAGGGATGAAAACTTTAAACTGCTATCTACGATCTATGTAACGATTATCTTAAAAATGGAATGTTTAGCGAGCAGCGTTTAAAGATGTACAGTAGAATATATTGCTTAATATTCGAATTAACAGAGGAGATAAAAATATATGGATAATACAATTTTCAGATAGTAAAACGATCACATTTTTAGTAACAAATTTTAGTAACAAGTTATTTTCATATTTAAGGATTCTATATTATTGTAATTGGAATGACATGCTTTTTTAGGCTTCCAAGTGGATTATTTTCGAACCAGAAATTTCTATAATTATCAAGTTAGAAGTTAATAAACACGAATCAATCTCGGATAGATCGATTTTAATTCTTGCAAACTAGTGGTGAATATTCACGTATTGTATCTTTGAAAAACTAACTTATCACAGCGTTTTGTCAGTTAATTCTCATAAAAGTTACCTAACCGTAACTTCGCGCATTGTAAGCCCATATACATCGATATACATAGGTCGGAATTTATGGATCGGTTTTCTCTCAATAAAAGCAATTCTATACGACATCCTACAAGCAGAAAACCCATACTTTATGTGCTGAGGAAACCATCTTAATTTTTCTGTAGTATTGTTCGCAGTCACATCTACCATATCTTTTGTAATTATTACTTTTCCTTTTTCTGATTAATAAATGCTTGTATATACGCAATATGTATACGTATTGGTTTACCAATACGTATTGGAAGTTGATTTATATATACGTAGACTATATTTGGATAGATACACGCAAGATGGTTCAATCAAACGAATATTGGTATTCGGAACTTCAATCACCTATTTCTTTTTTCTATATGCAGACCTACCTCCGCGTCGTCTAGCTTTCCAATATATATTGCATGTTCGCTAACGAGAAAGAGGGAACGGATAATAGAGAGATCATGGAAACTGGACAGGTGCACAATTTCCGTAGTAACCAACTGTTGTGCTTTATCCCCAGATACATACCACTATGTGGACCGAAAGACCAAAAATCTCTGTATCGCCGATTGTTATTTTCGTTATGTCTGTCTGAAATATTACGTGATTTTATATCGAAATATTTGTATAATATAACAATCTTAATATTCGTAAACATCATAATATATATATACGTTTAATATTTTTTCAGTATCAGCAAGCTATTCAATATCGAGAAAAGCAGGAAGTAAATAATCAAAAAATTAATCGTATATTTTATTGCGAATTTAAAAGTATAGTGATTTAGCAAATGTTATTACTAGTAGCAATTATAATATGCAAAAATATTGGTATATGTTAATATATAGACGAATATTGGTGATTTGAGAAGAAATTCCAAATGAATTTTTTGAAACATCTAGGAACAGTCAAATTGCTTTTAAATAGGAAAAAACGATTTTTATTCTAACATTTGCAACTTATTGCTGCATTTAATTTGAACAATGTCATATTTTGTATAACTACTTACATTTGAATAATTATTTCCAAAATATAATGACTACTTCGTATAGTAATTTCTTCATAAATGAAATTTTCAGAGAACATCTTCTGTTGCATTACACCTAGTTATTAGACAAACAATTGCTTCGGCAAATTATCGACAGCTTTATTATCCTATTCGTCGCAATTATTTTATAAACAATAAATATTGTATAAATTCAAATATCGTATAGACAACACGATTGGCGTACTCAAACGCCGATTAAAACTTTGTGATAGCCAAATGGCACACATTGTTGGCATATTTAAATACCAATTAACGTTATATTCTGCAACATTACAGCTCCATTTAACATATTTTCTATATAACATTTCATATTTAGCATTTTACACGGTACATAAATCAAATGCTACTATACAATCACCAATCAGAACTAACAGGACCCGTAACTAGCAATTTAATATTAATTTCATGGCGCGGCATACGTCGAAGCAAAGTGTAACTGTGTTTCTGCTTTTATACTAATGGAAGACTTGCCACGGACGGTG